CGCCGCGGGGCCGCGCAGCCCAAGGGCGCTGCTCGGGGGGCCCGCGATGCCCGCCGCGCGCGCGCGCACCCCTTTTCCTTCCTCCCTTCCTCCCTTCCCCGGCTCCGAGCAGCGGCGGGGCCAGTGCGTGACCTCCCGGAGCCCCTTAGGCCACCCGGGGGCCCGCAGGAAGCGGCAAGCTGGCAGCGCTGCCCTTGCTCCCAGCCAACAAGCGCAGGGCCAGGATGGCCCAGCACCCGCTGCCCTAACTGCACCCGCTGCCCTGTGTGCCTGCAGCAAGAGCAGGGTGCTCCATCTCCACAGCCCCTTCCCTGGCAAAAGAGACGGGAAAGTTACCAGGAATTGACGGAGGCAGTGGCAGCCACGCTGCACTCACACGGARCCACCAGCGTGCTTCAGCGAGGCCAGCAGTGATGACAAAGGGCTTTAGCCACGCAGAGGAAGCATCGGTGCCTAGCTTAGGGTTCCTCTTGCCTAGCTAAGGGTTCCTCTTGCCTAGCACCTCTCCTCTGAGGCCAAGGGAGCCCTTCGTCCTCACTTGCCTTGGGGCAGGCAGCTTTCCTGTGGGCTCTGAGGCACAGAGGAGGTCGCTTGTGTACAAATTCCAGAGYAGCGCAGGCTGGTTAACATATCAATTCTCTCTTCTCGGCCAGCACGCCTGTAATGAGATAAGGGAAAAGCACTGATAAACTGCTGGCTGGGGAAAAGAGAAAGAACATCTTAGYTTCAGAGCAAAGAGGCTCAGTTCAGCTCCAGTTAGCAAAGTATTTTCCCTAACGGAATAAAGGCACAGAATCCAAGCCAGACAATAACCTTTTTGGTTTTCTTACTGTATATCCCTCGAATAGGGCAGCAAATGTAGATTAATGCTTACATTTGTTAAACCAAGTGTATTTTGAATTCTCACCGTGAACTTAATTCTCAAATTACTTTTTTCCCCCCTCTYTATTCCAAATTGAAGCCATCCTCCAGTCCCATAACTCTCCGTCCCCATACCTTGTCCTAGATACTTCTGGTTTCATTATTGCATGAATAGAGCTAAACAGGTAAGAGTGCACAATGTCAGATCACTAGCCTTGCTATTCTAGCATCCCAGCCCTAAGGAGGAGAACAAAATACCAGATAAAAGCAAAAACCCTCGGTAGAGATAGGCAAGCATGTATTTCACCTTAGGCAAGATTTACTCCTAACTCCTCACAGACAACCGAGGTACTCTCCAAAGCACAATAAGGGAGAATTTCCCACCGTTTTCTATCCTGGTGAATGTCACTTAAGATGATTCATATTTTTACATAAAGCAAAAGGTTTTACACTAACTTTATATAAAGTTCCAAGGCCTTCATTCATTCTTTAATCAGGCACTGGAGCCTTTGGCTTTCTCTGCAGTGGTCCRTAAGTGGTTTATACGACCCATAAAGCACAGCTCAACTATTGGGTACAATCGCTTTCCCGTGTTCAACCTCTCTGGGCTCAAGGGCTGGAACAGGCACATTCCAGCACTCAGTTGTTTGTTCCAGGACAGATGAAAAGCTTAAGAGCTCCCTGGAGCAGAGAACAGTAGAACCTGCCACCCCACTGGGAAACACCTCAGAGTGAACTCGTGCAGCCCCAACACGCGAAACAGCAGCAGGGACCCCGGCTTGGGGGAGCTGCTTAACCTGTTCCCGGGACAACACAGCTAATGACAAGTGGCAAAAGCAAATGCCAGGGGTGCTTTGTTGTAGCCCTGAGATACAAGAGAAACTATCACTGTAAATCCTTGTGTTAACTCTGCTTCAACAACCTTTGCCTCCATATTTTACAGCAGATACCTGCAGAGCAACAAGTTCTTTCCTGCCTTGTATTTCATGCGACTAGAATAGCCAGGAAAACCAACTTCCGGTACACCCCGTTCTCCCTCAGGTCGAGTTACACACACTCGCTCCCAGCGTTTTCTCGTCTCGAGTGGCCACAGTCCTCCACTTTTCAGCTCCGCTTGCTTAGTCAGGCAGGCTCAGCACAAACTCACAGGCTTTCGAGTTCCTTTTCCAACCAGCCTTGCACACCCTTGTCTGGCAAAGGACCACGGCCTCTCTCTTGCTCCACAAGCAGTGTCAGGAGCCACTGACTGACAGTTCACAAACTCCCCATCGATCCACAGCATCCAGCACCCTCGCCGAGCAAGAGGGACATGGCAACACTGTGGCCCTACCAGCGACGGGCAGCAGAGCCCTATGGCTAAGGAAGCCCTTGCAGAAAGCAAGGCTGCAACCTGCTGCCTCGTCTTCCCTCCACATGTTCCTGTGGGATCCCTGTCTCCCAGATGAGAGCTGATGAGCTAGGTGAGTTCCCAGTATGTGATGGATCATGATGCTGCCTTATATATCGGAAAGGAAGCTCTCCAAGAGGTCTGGAGATGGTGCTCCTCACTATGCAAAGGGGTTGCACAATGTCAGMGCAACTTCCACACCAGGACAGCAAAATATTTTTCAGTGTTAAGTAGTAGTATTGTCTCCAGAGAAGAAAACTATGACAGGGGAAGATTACTTGCCTTTCTGAACGTCACAGAGGAAAGCTGTGGAAGATGCAAGAACAGGAGCTGTATCTCCTGCCCCGCAGCTGTGTGCTCCCAGGGTGTTCTGGACTGTAACCTGGCCTGTTACTAGATCACCCCAGTGGAGCTATGCAAAATTCAGTGGTTTCACTTCCCAAGCATCTCATGTGATCTCTTTGCTTTGGTTTTGGTTCCTGTGGGTTTATCACCTCTGGAGTTTTGATCCGAATAGTGTRCTCAAACCAAACCCAAACCTCAAAATCAGACAATGGGGCCAAGTTTCCTCAGGTCATTTGGTAAAAGAACACAAGAAGTGCATTGCTGAACATTTATGGTGACCCACACACCTGCCTCAGCAACTGCTCTGAGATCTGTGTGAATTCCTCACAGCTGAGTGAGGAGTAAAGGGCAGGCAAGCTCTCCATGCAAGTGACAGAGAGGGCAGGAGGCTGTGAGCTGGGCCAGGATCCTGGCTCACTTCCATGACACCCGTGTGTGGCTCCCTGTTACTGTCACGGGTAAGGCACCCCCAAAGGGCTGCTGCAGTTCATGGTGGGCCACATCTTATCCCTCAGAGAGACTCCTCCCTGGGAGCCCTGTCCTAACAGCATGATAAGAGAGGCATGTGTGTGTGCACATGCGTGTGTGAGCGCACGTGTCATGCATAGACCACACAGCTAGGATGTATCCTTGGAGCTCTATCTCCCGTTATGCCTGGGGGACAGTCTAATTCCCTCTACAGCTTGTCCTCCCCTAGGTGTACCACTAACACTGCAAGGTGAAAAAGCAGGAATGCATGTAGGTGCRGAAGGCTCCATTAGGCAGACCTGGCCAAGTCTTCTCATAAGGGAAGAGATGCTATTTTCATCCTTGGAAATCGTCAGTGGATTTGCTCGCCCATGGCACACACTAACCTAGCCTTGTGCCCCCTTCACCACATGCTGCGTGTGCTGTAGCTGCTCCACCTCTGCAGTCTCTGCTCTTAACATCCCAGAGTTGAAGTCAGAAACACTCTGAGCAAGAGGTTCAAGTGCCATCTACGGGGCATCGTCGCTCATTACACCAAGGGACACTGAAAGGGTGAGGAGATGGAAAAAACCTTCCACTCCCTCTGGTGTTTGCTCTGAATGGGCTGAATGTCAGGAATGGGCATGAGAGTGACAGACAGTGCCGGCCATGCGGAGAACACCCCTAAGGTTGCCAAGTGCAACGTTAAGCGAGAACAGCAAGGTGGAGGATAGATGAAGGCAGAAGGGTTGAGCCTAGAAATCATGCAAAGAGAAACGTGGATCAAAAATCAGGTACGCAGCGAGCTGTGCTTCTGTGCACACTCATCCACCAGCTGCCTGAGCCACAACCCGATACCTCTAAGTAGAGGGACAGTCCCCACTAAAACAGTGAGAATGGTTCCCAGAGCAGTGTGACTGGCAGAAGAGGGGCAGCTACAGCAGTTGTTCAGCTCAATTCTCCATTGATCATTTATGGTACTACAGGAAATTTCTTCTTGAATTGCTTTGCATATAGGCTCACCTAGAAGAGACCATCACTGACTGCCTTTGTACAACGCCTGGTCTATCAGTAGTCATTCTGAGTCGTCTCTGGCACAGATAACAGTTTCCCCCTTGRCCCTGCTGCAGGAGTGAAGTTGCAGCATATCCAAATTCCCTCTGAAACCTGGCAGGGTGGTCCRTATACCAAAAGTGTGGGGCAAGCCGTTCCCTGCCCCTGAGCATCCCCCATGAGCATAGCAAGCACACGAGTCCCAAGTGAGCCCATCACTACGGCTGTTGGGGCTCAAAGACTGAAACTGGGCACTGTTACCTTGCCAGCGAAAAATGCAATGGCCAATCTGTCCCAGAAGGGAGCCAGCTATTGAAAGGCCAACACTTTGGAGATTCAAGAAGTAGATTCATCATCTACATAGAGATGGCCAAAACTGAGAGGTATCTGTTCTCTTTCAGGTGTCTGGTACTTCTCAGTGCATCTATCTTGGCTACATGTTTTTGAAGGTACTGTTTCTCACTGGCACAAGAAGAGGAAAAGAAAGGGAAAGAAACAGAAGAGAAGAGTTCAGGAATTACTGATCCTTCCTTTTTTGATACAGCAGCRCCGATAATGTCAGCATAAGCTACGCAACTACAGTAAGGAAAAGACAAACCTGTTAGCAGCACAGCTAGGCAGCCCCGTTCCTGTTACAGCCCCCTTGCTGGTCATGCTCTGCCTGCACGTTGCCAGAGCCCGCTAGAGAGCCGGTGTGTGGCTGGCACACTGAGAACGAGGGAGAGCAGGGCTACTGCCCCAGCCTGCCCGTGTTCCTGAAGCTGTCGCAAGCATTTGCTCCTGTGCAATCAGGTSTAGGAGAAGACCCACAGCACCCGCCTGGTTGTGGGCTGCACAAGGAACACACACAGGACTGGCAGTTCAGCATGGCCAGCCCACAGCTTAAGGACAGCACGGCACTCTGGCTTCTCAGAAACACCAACTAAGGCACAAAGCAGCCACTCCATACATCCCACCCCCTGCAGAGAGGGCCGCTCTCTCTCACCTGCTGCCTCACACTTCTGGACAAAAGAAATTTCAAACTATACTGCTTAAGAGGGCAGCTCTAGAGAAAAAGAGCTTGGATTCCTACAAAAGCAGGAAATTTCTCAAGCAGAAACACTAAGAAATTGACACACTCTGCCTCTATACAGGAAAAAAATATTAGCAAAAAAAAAAAATATTATCATTATTGCTAGTTTGATTGGGAGGGGAGTGGAGGGGGGCGGGGAGGAGGCAGCAGAAGGTAGGAAAAAAATCTTTCCTGCCTGCTGGAACTTCCTGGCTGCCCAGACAGCCTCCAGGCTCATCCCAAGTCTATGAATAAGACACAGCTTTCAACATCAAAGAGGTTTCTCAACTGCTGTAGTTATGGCACCCCATCTAGAACCCGTTTCTAGCTGTGAAGCATTTCAGGGCTTCAAGGAAAATGAAAAAGGAGCCAGGTTAGTATTACCAGGGGAAAAAAAAAATCCATCCCTTGGAGGAGAAGCAAAGAGAAGGCAAGCTTGAGCTTGCTACCTTGCAGTCCACCCCTGGAGAGAGCAGACTGTGTGGTAAGGAGAGCAGGAGCCGAGCTGCGCCCA